AGTAGCTTAGAGAAAAAGTCTGACTCGGAGCCAAGCCCAGCCCCATTACTAATTGAAAGGGTTCAGCTTACTGTTTATTTTCCAACTGGCATAATATTGAGGCCAAGTCTATTTTAAGGTTCAAATATTCNCCAGTTCAACTTCCGCAACATAAGCTGGGTTGCGTACTATCACGGGTACTTGATTCATCTTCTTCTTGAGTAGCTTGTCCAAGTGGGTTCTCACTGTAAATAGTAATCTAAATAGACTTTACAGATAGTAAAAAAGGCACGGATTAATAGGAATAGACCGACGTGTATTGTTAGGTGTCTATGCTTCGTGCTGTACTGAGTGCTCTGGCATCCGCTTGTATTCAAGGGACTGTTTACTCTTATCGGGAACAGTCTAGGATACAACACATACACATAATGCCAACTTTGTATTTAAAATATTTTGAAGATTTAGTATGAACAGTTTTCTTTCTAGATTCTATTTGACAGGACACATTAAATTAGCAGAGCTTGTGTCTAAATAGTTTGTTATACATTCTTCATTTTCAATTGTGGGTAAAGATTTTCTCATTTAGTCAATCAAATGAGTCTTTGAAAGAATAAAAACCCAGGAAAAATGAATAGTTTAGATGAAATCATTTTACTGTCTGAAAAAAATAGTTTAGAAAATGCACAGAACACGAAAGACATGGATTTAACAATTACAATTTAACAGTTTTTGTTCTTGGTTTATGTAAGACAACATTCATAATCTTCTTCAGAAAAGTCCAAAAAATTATTTTTTTAATGATTTTTTTCAAAAACTATCGTTTTGAAAAAAACAATCTTAAGAAAACTATTGCTTGTCGCTTATTGATTGAAGCAAAATTTTGTGAAAAAGCAAACTGATTTTTGACACTATCCCCCATAGTGTTGAAAATCAGAGTAAGAGGGCAAAACAAATTAAAGAGGGGTGGGGGTCTCAAGTGCCCCCCCACCCCTAGCACTTTTTAATGGTTACAATAGGAACACCTTATTTAGCCAGCTTCTTTTCCTATTAATGGGTGAACCATAGATGATGGTTACTTGAATGGTGTCATAGCTAGAAATTGACAACTTTACCCTTTTTAAACCTCCACAAATCTATCCTCTAGGTATGAGGTTCCATTGTGAAGATACAGGATATAACATCAATAACTTCCATTTATTTCTAAAATCTATCCACTAAGTAGGTATAAGGTTCCATTGTGAAGATACAGGATATAACATCAATAATTTCCATTTATTTCTAAAATCTATCCACTAAGTAGGTATAAGGGTCTGTTGTGAAGATATAGGATATAACATCAATAACTTCCATTTATTTCTAAAATCTATCCACTAAGTAGGTATAAGG